GTTAGTGTCTGTCTAAACCTTTGTTAAAAATTTATTTTCTCATTCCTGCTGCACCCCATTATTTCACTCGAGAGAAGCAATGGAATGCTGAGTAAAATTAAAATTTATAATGCATCAATTGGAAAAAATATTTTAATATTAACAAAATTTATGTTAATATTTACATAAAATAAAAAAGCAAAAGTTATAAAATAATTTTTAAATGGACTTTAACAATTTAAAGTTACCTGAAATGATACGATATAATAAACGAAATTGAATAATTAAAAACAAACTTATAAAATTAAGAGAAATACAAATAAGTAAGTATTAATTAGTTTTAATTATAATAAAAAGTAATATAAACTCTAAAAAATGTTCTTTTTTCAAAACTTTAAAGTACAATTCACCATTTATATACATTCAATATAATATGAATAATTAATAACTTTACCCTTAAAAGTTTTTTTTAAAAAAATTGAATTAAAATGTATTTATGTACAACTAGTTTTAATTTAATTCCTATTATCTATGTTTATTAAAGAAAATTACAGAATATCCATCATCAGTACAACTTATAATTTTTGAAATTTCGATTAAAAAGTAAAATTTGGGGAAAAAATGTAGAATGTAAAAAAAAAAAAAAAAATTGTGACGACAACTCACTTTAAGCAGTATTTAAGTTCTCACAAAATAATAGTAAAACTAACACATGAATAATAATAATAAAAGACAAACATATTAATTTACAGTTTTATTGAATTTAAAATAAAAAAAAAAAAAAAAAAAATTTTAATAATTCAATAGAAAAGTCAGCAAAAAAATAAAAGTGTTATAAGTCAGCTAAATTTTAACCTTAACAAAAAATCTTATTGTTTTTTCTCAATTTGACAAAAAAAAAAAAAAAAAAAAATTCAAGACATTTTTTATTGATGTATAAATTAAAATATAAATAATAAAACATTAATTTAAAAAAAAAAAAAAAAAAAAAAAATCAAATTAACATATTTTTTTTTCAATTTAAAATTATAACTTTTTAAATTATTTACAAATTTAAAAAATATAAATTTCACATTTTTTTTTTTTTTTAATAATTAACAGAAATAATAATAATGATAATAAGGATAAAATAACAAACTTACATTTTAGGAGTAATTTCTATGAGTAAAAAATAAAAACTAAATATTAAAAACTTGGGAGGGCCATTATTTAAAACCCATCTTCACTCTTAAACAAATAATTAATTTATAAAGCTCTATGGTGACAAAACGAAAAAAATTTTACTATTGTAAAGTGAGTTATTTTTGCAGTAGCGCATTAAAGTAAAAAACTTTCTACGTAAATTTTTTCGTCGGTTTTTAATATTTTTAAAATCCATCCACGATGTATGTACTTTAAAAAATTTTTTTTTCTGAATATTTTGTATTGATTTAAACAATTTTGTTTTTGCATTGCATTACTTGAAGTAAACAGCAATAATTAAAATGGTTTTTACGTCTGTGGCGGTATAATATAAGTGAAATACTTGTTAGCTATGTAGAGATTTAATTAAAGTATTAATATCAAAATGAAAAAAAGATTGAAAAACAATTTATTTAATGAAAGTGAATACTATATAATATATTTTGTTTTTCGTCATCGATGATTTTTTAAATCATGAATTTTTTCAAGTTAGAATTTATTGCTGTATATGTTGTCGTGGCAAACCTCTTGAGTTCCGTCAAATGCTGGGACTCGGAGGAATTAGAATTATTCGATTTAGTTGAAGAAGTGAATACAAATTTTTATACGCTTTTGGGCGTTGTTCAAAATTCCGATTCTAAAACCATACGGCACGCATTTAGAAATCTCTCACTAAAACTTCATCCTGACAAAAATGATGCACCCGATGCCGATATTAAATTCAGACAACTTGTTGCTGTACACGAAGTTTTGAGGGATCCTGTTAAAAGGAAAAGATATGATGAAGTATTGGAAAACGGTTTGCCAGATTGGAGGCATCCCGTTTATTACTACAGGAGAGTCCGAAAAATGGGATTGGCAGAAATGCTGATAATAGTCTTTACTATTGTTACAATCGGACAATACATAGTGTCGTGGGCAGCTTATTTAGAAAAAAAATACATCGTTGAAGAATTTGTGAGTGCTGAAAAAAAAAGACTGCAAAAAAAACAAAAAAAAGGAAAATTAGAAGGAAATTTACCTGATATGACAATAGCAATTCCCAAACCTAGCTTATTAAATACTTTGCCTTTTCAAATACCCAAATTACTGTGGGTGTTTTTCACCTGCATACCACTCAGCATTAAATTATTAACATCATATTTTATTCAAAATAAAAAAATTGAAGTTTATGAAGAACAAGAAGAAAGTGATGAATCTGAACCAGAAGTATTAAGCAAAGGTCCCAGAAGAAGAAGAAATTTTATGATTCCCCAAGTAAACAATGAATCCAAATTAAATGGAGATTGCCTGAATGAAATGTCTGGAAAATCGGATGAAATTAAACAAGAGACTCAAAGTTATCCTATTAAGGGTGGTTTATGGACTGACGATGATTTATCTGATTTGATTAAATATGTTAATAAATATCCTCCTGGAATGAATAAAAGATGGGAAAAAATTGCAGAAGTCATGAATAGAAGCGTTGGAGAGGTGATTATTACTCTTTGGTTATTAATTTACTTGAAAACCTTTTCTTTAACACAATTAATTTGGAAAAATGATTTTTTTTCAGGTGACTTTTATGGCTAAAAAAGTAAAAGAAAATATGATAACCAAAAATGATGCAGTCGAAGAAATAAATGACGAGTCGAAAAAAATTAAAACAAAGGGAGGAAAATTTGCCGGTTTGGAAGATGGTAAAAGAAAAAGTTTTATTAAACTAATTGATACTTTTTTTTTTTTTTTGAAATAAACCAAATAAAATTATTTTTTTATAGTAGTTAAAAAGAAAGAATGGGATCAAGTCCAACAAAAAGCATTAGAAGAAGCTTTATTAAAATTTCCTAAACAGTGTAGCGAAAGATGGGAAAAAATAGCAAAATTTGTGCCTGGAAAAACCAAAGAAGAATGTATTTTGAGATATAAACAACTCCATGAAATAATCAGAAAGAAAAAAGAAACAGAGGTTCAACAAAATTTTACCTAGTACTCGTTTAAATAAAATTAATTATAAATTATGTGCTACTTAATTTGTTCATTATTTAAATAATCAAATATCATTATTATTATTGTCTTTTTTTATTTTTATTAAAAGACATTATTAAATTAAAATTTTATTATTTTTTAAAAATAATTATTATTACATTATTAAAAAATTGTATTAAATTATAATTAACTTTTAGTGTCTTGAATAAAATTTCTCATTTCTTTATACATTTTTTCGGGTGGTAAAATTTTTTCCCATATTTCATAATATTCTTTTGATGATATATTATTGATTGCACTATCATTATATCCTCTTTCTTTAAGAAAATCTTTCCATGAAAATCCATTTGTAATTTGGGAATTTGAAAAATTTTGCTTTTTAATTTGTTTATTTCCTATTATGTATAAAAAAAAATATATTTTATATGCCATTGTCGGATCAGATAAATCTACTGTTATTGAAAATGGACTGCAACAATTGGTACCCTGCAACAAAATTATTTTTGATATTGATTTATATTATTTTATGAAGAAAACAATAGAAAATATTTTGTCTACCTTAGGTACAGGATACAGTGCTTTTTTATAATAATCAGACTTGTAAAAAAGTTTTCCAGGCCACAACAATGTATTTATATTAAAACCATGAAATCTACCTCGTCCCTCTTTATCCCTTGTATCCATTGGTAAAATTCCCAATTCTTTTAAATAAAAACCTATTAACATTATAAAAAAACATAAATAAAATAAAATAAAACACATTACAATAAAAATAAAAACAATTTAAAGAAAGAGAGAGAGAGACAAATCTGATGCCACTTAATTTAAAATTTTTTTTTTTTTTTTACCGCCAATTAATACAAAAATAAACAAAAAAAAAAAAATTATCCGTACCTAAATATAAATCTTCATTTTTCCAATGTTTTCCGGTATTTTCACAATCGGTTATATTTTGAAATTTTTTTAATAATTTTCTCAATGAGCCACGACTTAATAATATTCCAGCGGATAACGTATTAAAATTAGCTTCGTAGTGTTCCAGCGGATAACCGAAATAATGATATTCACTGCTATTTAAATTTTTAATGAAAAATTTTAAATTTTCCAACAAAACGAAAACGCTATCAGGTACGATGATGAGCCATTCGAAACAACATGAATTTATTATGTGAAGGGATTTACATAATCCTTCCCAAGCACTTTTAGCTAAAATATTTTTAACGTATTTTCGAAAATTATGTCCGGTAAAATTTGTTTCGCATTCGAAAACAGACCCATCATCATCATTATTATCATTATGAAAAATTGATTTAACATTAAATAAATTATTTTTACGTTTTTTAGAATTTTCAACATTAATTATATGATAATTATCACAATTTTTAATCCATGTATTCATTGTTGAATTTATGTACCTGTCATGATTATGTTTAACAACAATCAAACATGTAATTCTTGACTTTTCTAGAACACTCACTGCAAAAAAAAAAAATTCAAATTTTATTTTTTTTTTTCAAAAATAAAGTTAATAATAAATAAAATAAAAAAGAAACTTACCGTTTTTATGTGTTTCATTAATAAATATTTTTTTATTTTCAATAAAAATAATTTCCAAACAAATCCCAATTAAAACACCAAAAGAAAAAAGAGTTAATAATTTTTTTAATCCTCTACTCATTTTAATCCTTTTTTAATCCTTTTTTAATCCTTTTTTTTATCTTTTTTCAATATCCATGTTGTTCATTATTTACAATAATAATAATAATTCATAAAAATATTTACATAAAAACATTATTTTCTGAAAAAAAATAAAAATATCTATTATAATACAACACATAATAATAATTTGACATTAAAAAATTTAATTTTTTTTTTTTTTTTACACAGGTACCCTAAAAAAATACCCACATATTATTATTATTATTATTTTACATACTTTACCATGTCCAGCAATAAAATTATTAAAAATAAAAATTATAAATTTGACAATTCAGGTACAAAAAAAAGTAAAAATCATTTAATAAAACGTTTAGGTATGTATACATGTATGAAAATAGAGAGAAACATTTTGAAAGCAGAAGAAAATACCTGTCATGGTATACTACCTGAGTGGAAATATAAAATGATTAGGGTTACCAAATAATAATATATATGAATAACATGTCAATTATGTGATAATTTTTTTTAAAATACCAAAAAATAATAAACAAAACAATTAATTTGAAATTTTTGGAATTATTGTCAATATTAATAAAATAAATATTTTTTTTCCATCAAATACTTATCCAAATGAGATGATACCCGTGTTCAAATCAAACATGAGTACTTTTTCAGTAGAGGAATCTGAAAAAAAATTACAAAATTTAAGGTTGAACATGGAAGCAAATCATATTTTTATTATTAAAAAATATTTTTTAAAAAATGACAGTTTAGATTTTAAATTAATAAGTAACCGATACTATAAAGTAATATTATTATTATTATTATTATTATTATTATTATTAATTACAACATTTTGAAATTTTTTTAAATTAAAAATATTATAACAGGTAACATTTATAAAATGAATAAATATTAAAATTTCATTTAAATTAAACGTTTTTTTTTTCTTTAATCAACAAAAAATTTTAAAAAAAACATGAAATAAAAGGCACAAAATATATTTTTGTTTAAAATATGTATTATTATTATTATTATTTTAATAATAGTAATAATTAATATAATATAAATTAATTGAGCTTAATAAAATAAAAATATCATAAATAAATATCAATATTTATTTCATTTAAATTAATTAATTTGACCGCAGGTTCTTTTTCTTTCATATTTTTTAAAAATTTAAACAAATTAATAAAAAAATAAAATTATAAAAAATTTATATCGAAATAATAATAATAATAATAATAATTAAATTTTTGTTCAATTTCATTACCCGAAACATTTATTTATTTATTATGAAAGGTTTACACTATCATTAATGTTGTAAAAAAAGTTAAAAATTAATAACAATTAAGAAACAATTATAAAAAAAATAATAATAATTAAATTAAAGTTAAAAAAAAAAAAATGAAATGTACGTTGAATAATAATTAATGATAATAATAATAATAATAATAATAATACTTTAATTAATTAAAATCTAATACTGAGGATGCAGCCAAATTTAAATCCCAATTATTTCGTGTCAAAGCTGCTTCGCATTCCTCTCTCGATGCCACGGCTAATCTATAATGAGAGAAAAAATAATAATAATAATAATAATAATAATTATTTAAACGAATAAACTACGACAGCTCATATATAAAATTATTTTTCCACCTTAAAAGACGATCCAATTTGATAAATTTGATCGCGGCTGGAACGTCCCATCCCGTTCTTTGCAATGCCGTCAATCTTTCTTCGTCGCTCGTATCCGGCATTTCGTTCCATAATTTTTCTAATTTTTTTTCTCTTAGCTCACCGCTGAGGCCCACCAATGGACTATGTGTTTGTTTTATGCTTGTTATTCTTCGGTCGTAATGGCTGGGTGAATTGTTAGTCGCAACATTTAAAGAATATTCGGTCGACAACGATTTGTTTTTCTCTTCCGAACAACCCTCGTAACAATTAACAACATCTTTGGCACTATTTATATTTTTAAAAAAAGCTTGAGAAATTGTCGGACAGTGATTGTCTATGTTGCCCCTTATTGAGCTCCTTCCATCTAAACTATTATTACACACAGGTACTGATTTTTTTTTATTAATTTTTTTGCTTTCCCCATCACTTGAATAACTTAACGACGCAGCTCCCTGCGATTTATCTTTGAGTATAGAAGAATACATATCGACATTGTTGGGAAATGAAGGCTCCGAAGCGATTTGATTTTTGTCTAACCACATTTTACTAATTTGATTTGAAATTGAATCCGTTTCATCGTAAAAAAGATCACTTTTTGTATTTATGTCTATAACTTTTGTCCTTAAAACTCTTCCCGAAAAATCTTGATTACAATTATTCGACGTGCCGGAAACATTGGTTTGATTGGAAAAAAACGATTCCTGCGATAATGACTCTTCGGTTTTTATGTTACTCTGAGAACTCCCAAACCATGAACTCGTACAAGCGGATGTCTGTGGAAAATTTAAGTCTTTCTCGTTGACAGCAGGATAGGAATGATTTCGATTTTCACGTTCAATAGTTCCCTGTCTAAAGGATGTCTCGGCATTTGACATTAAAACAGAAGATTCCACTTTTTTTAAATTAGGAGGAGGGGGTCTTAATGCGGGAATGAGAAGTTCACTATTAGTGTCTGAACAATTTTGTTTTAAATTTCCATCCATTGATTGATTCCCTAAATTTGGATCCGTTTGATTAGAAACGTGTTTTGACGATTCTCCGCTGGCGTAAAAAAATGTTGAATTTTCAAAATTATCAACGTTTAAGTACGTGTTCCTTTGTTGATCTGGCACATCTGAATAATACCTTGTTGTGACGTTTTTATCCAAATTAAAATCGCTACTTTTCAAACTGTAAATTGAATTATCTGGAAAAATTTAAAAAAACCGCTTTGAATTAACGTATATTTAAAAAGTTGTAAATTTAAAAAAAAAAAAAAAAAACCAAAACCACGTGACTACGAACCCTGCTGTTGAGGTACATCAATTGGTTGATCTAAAACGGAAGTTATGTTAGAATACGAAGGGATTTCATTAACATCTAATAAAGGCATAGGAGGGGGAGCACTTGAAAAATCAATTAAAGGACCTTCCGCAATTGAATTACTACTCGCGCTTGAAATTTTTGTTACGTTTTGAAGAGTATCCTTTGGTTTTTCAACTATTTCATTTTTTAATTTTGAATAATTAAAATTTTGTTTTCCTCTCTGCTTTCCTCCTACTAAAAAAAAAATTTTTAAATAGTTTTTATTAAATTTGGTACTAACTTACAGTAGAATAGAAAAGATAACCAGGAAATATTACCGCTTTCCAATTTAAGACGACTTTTTCTATCTTCCAAACGAGGAGTGGTCGTTATTTCAGACGGAATACCAATTATATCCGGAGGTCCCATGGGATTGTTTAAATAAACATCATCGATAACGGCCGGACTTCCCCAGGATCTTCCAAAGGGTGAACCGTGTCCCGTATGAATAAATGAATTTTTAAGAGGTTTACTTATATCTTCGCTAGCCATTCCTCGTAAAGGATCGACTAGGCAACGAGGAAAAAGACCTATTTCAAACGTTCTCAAATTTTGACCTTTCCACCAATAAAAATCCGCCCTGAAAAAAGGAAAAAACATTGGTTGAGTTTTAAAAAAAATAAGCTTAAAAAATAAATCATTTTTTTTCCCCTCCAGAAAAAATTGAATAAATATTTTAATATAGAAACGAAACCTTTTCCTCCCCCCCGTCTTATTCTCCCTTCCGAAACAAAAAAAAAAACTTGGAAATTTTTAATTGTTACAAGTAAGTAAGTAGGTGTTTGTTTGTTTTTGTTCGTTTGATTTTGAGATTACGTGATATAAATAACGTTCGGTCGTGAAGGAACGTTTAACAATGACTTAAATACAAGGCCAAATGTGATGTTAATTTTACATTATAAGCATATTATTATTATTAAATTTACATAAAAATAATAATATAAACTTACCTTCCATCGATGACGACAATAGAATCTCCCAATTCGACTTTTAATTTTTCAGGTTCAGAAAAGGGACGTAATGATTTCACCAAAAGAGGCATTCTATCTTTTAAAAAATCCATTATAGCCGTAAAAGTTGGTCGATCGGATGGATTTCTAGACCAACACTGGAAAAAAATAAAAAAAAAAATTTAAATAAGTTTTTTTTTTTTTTTCTTCAAATAAAAGTATTAATTTCGTTAAAGAACTAACCTGAAGCATTAGATGGTAATAAGAAGTTGGACAAGCTTCCGGTTGTGATAATCTTTCACCTTCTTTATCTACTTTTCGTAATATTTCAGTACCATTTAGTCCGATCCAAGGGTCTTCACCAAATGTTAACATTTCCCATAATGTGACGCCGTACATCCACGTATCGCTGGCATGAGAAAATTGACGAGATTTTAAACTTTCTGGAGCACACCAGGGAAATGGTACTTTTTTTCTTTCTGTCATTACGTAACAATCGTCTTCTTGTGGAAGAGCTCGCATCAAACCGAAATCACCGATTTTGGCCTGAAAATAAGATAATTAGTATTAGTTTTGGTAAACATTTTACTAAAAGATTTTTACTGCCAATATTACAAAGACTTTTTACTTTTATGTATTATTTATTTGGGTTTTTTGTAAAATTTTTTAATTAATCTATTTTACCTTATCAGGAGAAGATAACAATACATTTCTACATGCCAAATCTCTGTGAATAAATCTTTTCGATTCTAAATATTGCATTCCTGCAGCAACTTGTAGAGCATAATCATAAATTTTTAATAAAGACATTTGAAAATTATGCTTTCTTAAATAATCTAAAAGACTACCTAAAGGCGCTAGCTCAGTTACCATCATGAGAGGTTGAGATAGCACAATTCCATACAATCTATCAATTAAAAATAAGTTTAGAAACACCTTTTGCAAATTAATTAAGTTATAAAATAATCATTTTGATATACCTTATTAGATTAGTATGATTTAAAGAATGCATTGCTTGAACTTCTTTAAAAAAATCTTCGAAAACACCCGGTTGAGTAAGGGCATCTTGCTTTAATATTTTCAAAGCAACATTTATTACATTTCCTGTAGGAGTAACCCATTCTCCTTTCCTCACAATTCCAAAAGATCCATCTCCCAGTTTAACAGATTGCCTAAAAAAACATTTTTGATTTTATTTAAAAATAAATTTTAAGTTAAAACTTAATATGAATTACAAAATTTAATTATAAAAAAATATTGTATATGTATTTTTCACTTAATAACAGCATCACTATTTTAATAATAATAATAATAATGAGTTTCATAAAGAGGAGATTTTTAAAATATATATTTTTTTTTTAAATAAAATAAAATAAAATTAATTTATAATTTACGTTAAGTCTTTTTCTTGTATAAGGCAAGATATACTATTTTGCATCAATTCATCAGTAACATTTTTTTTATTTTTTTTATCATGTCCTTTTTTACTGTCTGGAAAGGGAATTATTTTACTAATGATGCTCTTCCTCCATTGTTGAGTTTTTCGTTTTTTAACAGCTTCTAGTAATCTTCTTATTCCTGGTTTTCCTGAAAAAAAAAAAAAAAAAATTTTAAGAATAAAACATTTAATGTATTACTTAAAAAGATTTAAAAAATTTTGAAATGACATACCTAATCCTATTTTTTCTAAATCTTCTGCTTGTACATAATCAAAATGTGAAAGCCTGGTGATTTGTAAATCATCCCTAAACCTTGTAAAATATTGTTCTAATTGAACATCTTGAAGCAGTTCATATAGCCATTTTATACCAGGATCAGATAATGTCATTTTTAAATTATTCTAGAGTAAATAATAACGAAAGTGAATGAAATTGATTTTTATACCATTTTCCTACTGAAGAAATTCTGTTTCAATAACAATAATTTTTTTTTTTTTTTATTTTACCATAAGAAAGAGAGAAAAATTTTAACTAAATATTTTTAAACTGAAATTAAAACTAAAATTTTAATTTAAAAATACGTAATAATTAAATATAAGAACTTTAATTCAATGTATATTCATTATTAATTAATAAAATTTTATACATTCCTTTTATTTTTTTTAATGTTAAAAAACTTTATAAAATTATAAATAATTTAGAGAAATATGATAACTACGTATATTAATATCATTTGCATTTAAAGTAGACAAGTACTAGAGAAAAAAAAAAAAAAAAAAAAAAAAAAAACGTAATTGTAAAATTAAATATAATCAGCCATCATTAAGAATTATTCTCAATAAACACTTCTTTCTATTATATATTTTAGCAAGAGGAAATAAACAATCAGCAAAGGAGCTTATTGTAAAAGATTAAAAACTAACAAAATCTTTTATTAAAACTACGAAACGAATTTTTAAAAACGTACTATTATATTTACAATATAGGAAGTATACTGGAGTAGCTTTCTAAAATACCTTGCAACAAAGAATCTAAAACATCAAATAAATCATTAAAATATACTTTGAATTGTAATGTATCGTGTAAATATCATTTTTATATGTAATATTTGCTATATATCGCAAAATTTTAACCCAATTAATGAAACAAGTTTTTAAAAAAACCCTGTAATCAAAAATTATCCAAAAACCTTAAATTACACCATATTTATATTCGACTTGTCGTGGAACAAGACTAATAAAAAAAAAAAAAATTAACGAATACTGGAACACTATGTTTAAAATATGATTGGCTAAGACCTTGTTTATGATGTATGAAATACTGCGACATTAAGATACGATGTTTAATCAATATTATTTCATTGAAAATTTATTGTAAATAACCTTTAAATATAAGCTTTTATTTTTGAAATTCAATTATATTAATAAATCATTAATGCAATGTTTCACTGACTGTAATCACAAATTTTTTCCTTGATGATATGCAGTTAACTAATTTCAGAATTTTAGTTTATTATCTGTATAATATATTCAAGATTTAACTAAAACAACCAGTAAAAAATTTAAAATCCGATGTAGTAGTAAATAAAACATAAAATTTGACTATCCTTGCACAAAGAATAATGTAAGAATCGAACAAGTGGCAATTTATGCAAATTCAAATAATTTAATAGAATACAAGTGTCAGCACATTAAACTACCCAAAAAATAGGTTGTAGTAGACCCATGTAGATTTTGTAGGACTTATTACCATTTTTAAAATTACTGTTTCATAGAATTTAATAAAAGAAAAATACAAAAACTTCAATTACTTGACCTTCATTTCCTTTTGATTTTATAAAAATTGAATAGCCTTCAACATTTTTAACACACTAGAAATTTCAATGAGATATTAAAAAAACTAACTTTTATGTAAACATGTTTTCAAAAATTTTACCACACATCATAAACTTTAAAAATGACTTATTTTTAAAAGGAGGGTTTTCATATAAAAAAATTTAAAAAAAAAAAAAAAGAAACACAAAATCCAAATTATAAAATACAAATTTTAATAAATGACAATATTGAAAATTAGCAATTATTATTGCATAATTTTCTTAAATTGTTAAATTTTTTAGGATGTCACATACAATTAGAATCTGAGTTTTTGGAAAAACCACCTGTTCTTTCCAGCCTTATACCTGAAAAAAAAAAAAAAACAAAAATTTTATTCACAAGAAAATTTTTACAACTTAAATGGACAATACTATACACATTGTAATTAATTATTTTACAATGACAGTAAATGTTTTTAGTCTTAAATAAAATTAAAATGAAATTTTACTTATTTGTTGGTATTGTAATATGTATGCATTTAGAAATTTCTGTGTGAAAAAATTCCAAAGCAATTTTTAAAGGTTGTAACTTTTAATCAATTAATAACTTACCTTTCTTCAAATTAACACGAA